GTTCTTGTAGCTGAGAGTCCTTCCTAACACCAGGCATTAATTGAAAAGATCCTCATGAAAACTTTGCCATTAATAACTGAAGTCAAATGAATCTACCTGTTAGCAAAATGTCTCACGATCCACAGGATGGATTTTAATAAAACTCTCAGAGAGTAATCATTAAATATWAATCTACAAYTGATTAACTTTTAGTTGACATAATTCAAGATGGTTGCCACAGTCAACTAACATCAAGATGGCTATAACTCAGCCAATTTGACCCAACATTCTTATWTTATTCTCTGAGCATTTTCAAACCTCGCAAAAAAAAAAATTCAGCTTCAAATTCTGACATGAATGCAAGAATTTGACATTTTCACTATTCTGCTCGATTATTCGACATTTGCAAAACAAGAAATGGAGAGAGAGAGAGAGAGAGAGAGAGAGAGAGAGAGAGAGAGAGAGAGAGAGAGAGAGGATGGGGTTAGTCCCCACAGTACTGCATGATTATGAAACCAGTGCGGTCATGTGATGTCTTCTCTCATCACCATCAGGACAAGTTGGAAGCCTGACCTTCCTCTCCAGCAGCAGCAGCACAGTTTGAAGGCAGGAGGGCTGAAGATCATAACAACCGAGCAGCGGCAGTGCACTCTACGCAACACTAGGGGCGGAGTTTGACCTCCCAAATCTCCATAACATCACTAATCCGCGTCGGACAGTCTGGTACAGGCCAAACGGGGGAAAAAAAAAAAAAAAAGACAGGGAGAAATTTTCCACGGAAACGACACAGTCCTTTACCCTGTGCGCGGCACAAGCCACTGACTTGAGGCTGCACAGAGGAGACTGAAGCCAGCTGCAGCCAGGTTGTTGTCAGGATTTAAGGAGAAGAAGCAGAAGTGAAGGGACCTCTGACTGACAGCCGGACCGCCCTGCGCCTTCAGCCAGCTGCGCTGTTGAGGTGAGCGCATCTGTTTATCTGCGCGCGTTGAGCGCAAGTTGCGGCAGATTTCTGTGCAATGGTGGCGGAGCCGACATGTAGGCTTCTGGGTGAGGATGAGCAGCGTGCATGTCGGAGCTTGTAGGGGCTTTAAACAGCAAATATAAAGTCTGTCTGCATGTCCTCTGGTTGAGCCTGATCAYAAAAATGGTGGCTTATGTCAGACTTTATAGCAAAAGCGTTATGTTGTAGGGATGCTTTACATGTGATGAGGAACACCTTAAATGTGTTGAACATATGAATAAACACAGTATGACAAATATAAAAAAATATTAGATTCCCCCCTTCACTTCGAGTCCTGTTGCTCATGTAAGCTGTGGGGACACACTCTAAAAACTGCTGGGTTCATGGATCAACCATAGAGCATGGTTGGGTTTTCTGTCTGACCAAGTGCCTCAGCCTTCTTTTCCAAGAATATTCACACTAGATGATAGAGACTGAAAAACACAATGAGCATCATGATGAGAGAACATGAGAGAAGTGATTTTTATCACAGCTGATATCATTGCAGTTGTGCAGTTCTAGTTTAAATCTGTCATCATCTTTCATCTTGTCTCATTTCCCTGCAGCTGCCATTCAATGTCCAGTAGCTCGAGCCTGATGCTGCCCTGTGGCTGATCTCCAACATGCCGTCCACAAACTGCTGTGGAGGTGCGTGGGGGTGACATGGATGGAACCCAGGGCACCAGCTCCCATGTCCCGACATGTCCAGCTGCAGCAAGTTTCCCCCCAACTCTGGAGAAAGTAGACGGCAGGATTCACCTGGCATCTGGATCACTGATGTAACTAAGAGAAGTTGTGTCTGGTGCRAAAGTTTTAGTGTGAATGCTTAGTGAGGAATGACTGCCGAGGTTTGCTWCAGAAGCTARAATTRAATTAAGGCTAAAAAAATATATAASACTAAAAGAAGCAAAATTCYAGCAAGAAAATGTTAAAGTYACAAAAGGCAGATAAAAGGCAAAAAGCTCAAAAATAGCAAAACACTAGCTAAAAGTAGTAGAAGCTAAAAATAGCACAAGAAGACAAAAATAGATCTTACGTACAGAGTTTAACCTTAATGCTTTGAATGAAATGAAGAGATCTCAATTTATTATATGGGAAAGATTGTAAATTAGTTGGATAATTAGTTAAATACTTTAAAATTATAAAAGTTACAAAAATAAAATAAATAAAAACAAAATTAAAAAGGCCATAGCATCCATTTCCTAAATAAGCTGAATGTTTTAAAATTTTAATGGCTAAAATATTACAGGGATAGTTAGATAGCAAAGCAGGGAAACAACTGTATGCTGACTCAGCTTTTACACAGAGGGTGCTGAAAATAACCAGATTAATGATTTAAAATATCTTTTTTAAATTAATAATCTGCCTGTGTTATGAAAATAAATGTAACGAAATCCTCAGGATTTCAGTGTCTGTGTGTGACTTTAGATACAGAAAGAGAAGAGGCGACGCGTTTTAAAAGTGCTTTTTTATTAGCTGCAGGTTCTAACTCCATGGCATGGGTGAAGAAGTTCAAGAAACCCACAGGAGGCCTGAAGAAGTCCTACCAGCCGGGGAGCATGATGTCCCTCGCACTGACTAAAGGGCTGCTGAACGAGCCCGGGCAGAACAGCTGCTTCCTCAACAGTGCTGTTCAGGTACTGAATAAAGTCCTGCACTAATTGCAAAAAGTGCCTCAGCACTCAGAAAACCGTACATTTTATTTCCAGCAACTCAACATTTAATTCCAGCATCAGTGAATATTCACCCACCTTTACATTTACAAGACACAAATGTTGAGTTGCTGGTGTTCACTTGCACTGCAGACACCTGAACACTCCAAAACCATTCGCTGAAAATCAGTCATTTTTGAAAAGACTTTGTTTGAAGTTGAATAGGTTTGGCTTTACTTGCACTTATTTTTAAAGGTGAGATTCATTGATTGATCGTCTGTTGATTGAGGGAATCAGCTAAACTTCAGCTTGATCAGCTGTGACTGCTGACCGGCCACACATTTAGTCGACTCTGACAAATTTACACAGTTCAGGCTTTTTAAAGTCAGCTGAGTCATTTGTAAAAGTTGTAGCTGAGAGTCTGAAAAGCTCTCAGAATTACATATTTGTGTTGATTCATATTTTGGTGGCTGAGTGGCACACAGTTTATACTGAGCCTTTTCACAATGTTTTACTCCCTTTTTGATGTCTTTGTAATCTGTTGACCACCGCAGTACCTGTCCGTGTTGTGTGTTCGGATGTTTTTGTTCCACTCTATTTTTCAAACCTTGCTGAGGCAGAAGCAAAGAGCAGAAAGTGAAAGTGAAGTTTAGGTTTATGTTATTAAAGTTCAAACGTCAGGTTAGCATTAAGTGTTAGGTCGATTTTTCCAAAGGTTTGAAATAAAACAGATTCAGATTTTGACAGATGTTCTGTTGTTGATCCTCCACAGGTGCTCTGGCAGCTGGACATCTTCAGGAGAAGTCTGAGGCAGCTCTCAGGTCACTTTTGTCTAGATGATGCTTGCATTTTCTGCTCCTTGAAGGTAAAAATCACAGGCCGATACTTTAAATCAGTGTTTTTCTTTTCATTTTGTTTAGCAAATTTTTTTTCTTCACAACCGAAAGACATCCTGTTGCTTTTCAGAGTATATTCAGCCAGTTTCAGCAGAGCAGAGAGCGTGTCCTCCCCTCGGACAGCCTGCGTAACGCCCTAGCTGAAACCTTTAAGAACGAGCAGCGCTTCCAGCTCGGCCTGATGGACGACGCTGCTGAGTGCTTTGTAAGATCAAAGCCACGCTACGTCTTAATAATCTCTCGGCTCTTGTGCATCCGTAGCACATTATGATGTTTACTGTTTCTGCTTTTGTGTTGCACATGTAGGAGAACATCCTGGAGCGAATTCATTTACACATAGCCTCAGACACGGCGACTGACGCCTGCTCGTCCAAATCCTGTATTACCCATCAGAAGTTCGCCATGATGCTTTACGAGCAGGTAACTCATCCAGAACATCACTGAACTGCAATTTAAGGATGAAATGTATCCAATTAAATAATGTCTTAGGGTGCATTCATACCAGCCCTGTTTAGTCCGCTTTAATCAAACTCTAGTTCCTTTTCCTGGAACGACGGTTCATTTGGGGAGATGGGAACGCATAATCAAACTCTGATTTGAACCAAAACAGCAAATTCTTGTCCGCCTACAAACGTAGGTCTCGGTTTATTKAAAGTTAAYTCTGTTGCAGTTYGATTGCATGTGTGAACGCCAAGCAGACAGGAGRCCACTCCAAAAGYAGGAAGCGGACTATAATGCAGGTCATTCTGAGTAATAATGGTAATACAGTAACTCATATCTAGTAAAGACCTCACTCRATGTCTGTATAAGGTGGACATCRCTGCTGTGAAGTTGTATGCACTCCTTCTCAGTGAACGCCTTAGCTGCCTTGTGTGGGAAAACAATATTCTCCGCGGTTCCGCCTCATCTTCCTCTCATGCTGAGCCTATATTGTTGAAGACAAAAACAAAAAGTATATCCTATAACCACTAAAATCTGWMAGTACTCCATGWTYGTTTACATTTTGGGAAGAAGGAAGTCGCGCTTYATGTCTTCTTCTGAGGTTTTTGTGTCGATTCCTTCAGTGGGTCTTGGTGCAGCGCCACCACAGGCGAGGGAGGGAACGGGTTGTTTTCAGGGTTTAATTTGTTTGACAAAGAGCAGTGAGAATGTGAACTGCACCAACTGAAAATGTAAACAAATTTGCAATTTTGATCCCCAATCAAACCGTGTCTACCGGACTATCAGGTGTGAATACGACCTTACTCTTGTTTTTCAGTTTGTGTGTCGTTGTTGTGGAGCATCTTCAGACCCACACCCCTTCACAGAGTTTGTTCATTATGTGTCCACCACTTCCTTATGGTGAGTACTTACCAAATTATGAATAATGAAATATAAAGAAAATGGAGGTAATTGCACATTTATATGTGCATTATTTGGTGGCTGTGGTATGTCAGTGGTCTGAGCAACTGTCTCGTAATGTTGAGGTTGCAGGTTTGAGCCCACGTTAGGGAGTGAAACAATCGCCAAAATCTTTCACTTTGCTCTTTGTGGTGACAAAGAGAAAAAACATTCAAATTTTAAATTAAAATTTGCATGGCAATATACAACAAACATAGGTGTCAATAAATAATTTAAGGAATAAGGAATTATTAGCAATATTATGTTATTTCTTTGACGCTCCTAAAAGTGATACATTTGCATGACAACAGCACCCAAATTTACAGGAAACTGTTTTAAGTATAAGCGGATACAGATGTTTACATTTTATGTTTTTTTTTTGTATTGTAAGGAGTAATAAAACAGATTTTAATCACAGCTATCCTCTGTAGTCCCGGCAAACTTGAATTTTGGTGATCTGTGATTGGCTAAACTAGAAGTCTAGTGTCCAACCAGATCTACAGCATGTTCTGAGTCTCTGATATGAGGGAGAAAGTCCAGGTGAATTTTAGAAACAAAYGTATTTTTTCATGAAGTTAGAAAACAAATCCAGACATGGTGGTTACATCTGTCGCCTACTGTATCAGCAAACATTCTGTCCTTTCTTTCAGCCAACAGGTGGATCGGTTGATGGGGAAGAACGAGCGGCTCAGGTCCGACATGTTTGGAGAACTGCTGCAGGCGGCAAACAGCACGGGGGACCTCCGAAGCTGCCCTGTATGTTTTTACTGTCAATATTTAAACATTTTTAAGGATGTAATGGCAACAGATTTACTTTCTGTTCGCCTGTTTGGTTAAACATCCAGCTGGTTAAGTTCACTTTTTTAAAGGTGAGTAAAATTAGGTCCTTAACATGATCATTAGCAGCTTGTTTGCAAAAGATGGTCATAAAATGATTCTTGCAGTTACCCACAGCACACATTTCTTTTTGGCTTTGTTGCTCCATTTAAAGAAGCTGGAAGGAGACTGTGCAAAACTAGTGTGAGGATATAAATAGCTGTCAGAGCTTATCCCTTGTTTTTTTCCTCCTCTGGCTTTTCTACTTTTGTCTCCCTTTTCAGTATGCATCACTTTAATGGAGCTCAGTCCTTTTATTACGCTGTTACCACTCTGACAGGCTTATTTATTCTGCCCATTCAAAACACTTAGAACTTTCCTGTCTTTCAGCTGTATGTTGTGAATAGTCTGCCTGCTTTTAAGGTTTATACACAAAATTCATACACTATAAAATCTAGGAAGCACATAAGCACCAGGAAGCATGAGAGTAAGGTGGATGATCACTGAGTCAGTGCAGCTGAGGCTAATGAGCTAATTAGGAACAGATGGAAATAATTAACTGAAGTGTAAGATGACTAAGGAAAAGTTTTATGTCTGTGCTTTAATATTATTATTATTATTATTATTATTATTATTATTATTATTATTATTATTATTATTATTATTATTATTATTATTATTATTATTATTATTATTATTATTATTATTAATTTAGATATTTCTCATTTTTTCATCATGTTTGCAGAGTGACTGCGGTCAGAGCATCAAGATCCGCCGTGTTCTCATGAACTGTCCAGAGATAGTCACTATTGGGTTTGTTTGGGACGCAGAGCAGTCTGACCTCATGGACGATGTCATCCGGTCCATTGGCCCGCGTTTAAACTTGTGTGGGGTAGGTACTCAAGACAATTAGCTGCCATTTTCTGCAGCTTGTAAGCGCCAGATGACAAATGGAAATGTGTAATTTAATCATTCATAAAGTTATACAGTATAAAGACCAATTTGTTTGTTGTGTTTAAGGACGAATTAACTTTGATCAGGAATATTTTTATGTTGCTATGAGAGACTGAGGCCCGTGTGTAATATTTAGCATCCGACAGTCGGTGATGCTAGGCGACCAAACTTGATCTAATATTCTCTCTTTCAGCTTTTTAACCGAGTGACTGATGAAAATGCCAAACGCAGCGAGCTTCATCTGGTGGGGATGATCTGTTTTTCGAGTAAACATTACTCAGCTTTCGCCTATCACACCAAGTCTTCGAAATGGATGTTTTTTGATGATGCCACTGTGAAGGAGGTTTGGGCGTCTCCCGATAAGCTTCTTTGCTCATTCCGCTGTGTGTTATGTGTTCTTGCATCGTTCGTTTCCTCTCACCAGATTGGATCCAAATGGAAGGATGTCGCCTCAAAATGCATCAGGGGACATTTCCAGCCGCTTCTGTTATTCTACACCAATCCTGATGGGAGTCCAGTGTCTAATGAAGATGCACCAAGACAAACTACCATGTGTCCTCGCTACAAAGCCCATGTAAACGGTGATGGGACCAGTAAGGCAGTCTTTTACTTATTATATGAGTGGAGTGGTGGGCCTCACAGCACGAGACCGTGTTCTCCCTGTTCTTTTATGGGATTTCTTTGAGTACTCACTTTATTTCACAGCCCCTAGCCATATGTGTAAGTCCAAATGATGATGCATATTTGTTTGTTTGTGTGCATATCTGTGTTGACCCTGTGTCAGGCTGGTAGTCGCTTCAGTGTGTACTCTTCCCTCTCAGCTGATGATAGCTGTGAGCTGAGACTGACTCCATGAGGACCTGAACAGGGCAAAGGAGAATTTGAAATAATTTACCAACTCAGTTTATGCAAATGATTTGCTTAACTTCTAGTTTTAACAGTTAACTGGGGAAATTTTTTAATGAGCCATGGTTATTTACACACACCAATACTACAAACTAGTTTAAATATTGTGCTAATTATGCTTTTTAGATTTTCTGCAAATAGAATATGCATATGCAGTGTTCAGAACTGAGTAAATTATGTGTGATGATATCACAGAGGGGATGATGGTGATTTGGACTAATGACTATAAACATGTTCAGTCAGTTAGTTAAACAAAATGCACTATTTCCTCTTCACATGCAAGTGACTTGTTGCTATGTTTCTACTGATCATCTTAGTATGCTCAAATATTTAGAAAATGTCAAATACTCTCTAATAGACTGGCTGCCCAACTGATTGCTTTACCTTTAACAGTAATCTGAGTAACTGATGGTAATGTTTTGCAAAAGAAATGATTCCACACCATGTTTTGTATTTGTGTTTTCAACTGTCCCCATTAACATCTTTTTAATTGCACAAGTCAGCTGCTACAAAGCAACAATGGCTTCTAAATGTAGCTTCATATTAATTTGATTGATTGATTTGACTGATTTTGGAAGTAAGTTTAATTGAAATGAATGATCATTAAATTGTTTTGGCATCAATGGCAGCATGGATTTAGCTCAACCCTTTCCATTTATTGTTTTGGTTGAGTTCGTGTTGGTAAACCTCAGAGAAAACACACGTGGTCCTAGCCTGGTAAAAACCAGACCCTTGCTGGAGGCGTGGCCTCTGCTGAAGTGTGTGTGTGTGTGTGTGTGTGTGTGTGTGTGTTGCTGTGGAGGAGGCTAGGCTAAGAAGCTAACCAGAAATTGCGTGCGCTGTAAACAACCCTACTGAGAGGAGAAAAGTACCGAGCCAAACGAGACGACTGTAAATGAGAGCTGCTGCTTTGTCAGACAAATTTAATTTAATTTGGACTGGCTTTATTCACTTCCTCCACTGCCGTATGCTAAACTAACTAGCAGACACTGCACAGAACATCGACGTCATTCAAAACTCCGCCTTCTGTTTGCTGATTGGCCMAGGTAAAATAAACTACAAGCAGACAYTGCRCAGAAAATCGACGTTCTCTTCTCTGATTGATTYGGCTAAAAATCTGCCAGCGAAATCCTTGTCTATGGGAGAAATGCCAGACGGAGCAGAGAAGCAAAACTAAAACTGAGCGGAGCAGGAAGGCAAGGGCCAGGCTAACGTGGTCCTATTGGCTGGTTTGAAMTTTACATGAGGATGATGTGTCTGTTTCACACAGATCACCACCCACGCTTCGCTCCCTAATCTCTGCTCTTGTGGCCAAATCGCTCTGCAGCTCTCACTCCTCCCCATGCTTCCATTCTCTCTCTCTCTCTCTCTCTCTCTCTCTCTCTCTCTGGTGGAATCTCACAGGTTTAAATGGATTGCTTTGGTTTTCTGTGGTGCTCAGATACTTTGGCAGGTGGCAGGATTTTTTACTTTTAGGACAGTCAGGACAAGTAAGTAACAGATTTTGTAATTTTAACACTAAAATATGATTCGGTTCTTCAATTGAAAACTTTCTGCACAATATCCTTTGTTAACTGTTTGTTAACTTTGTATTTTAGTCCTAATAAGCTTGTAATATTTTCTATGCATTGTAGTTCAGATTGTTTTTATTTTCGCTGCAGAAGCCAGGACAGCAGCCTCATGCTGACATGCTTGCATAACAAAGTCTGTGTAACTTCGGGCATCATGATGCATGTGTGCATTAGTTAATTAGTTGGCAGATGTCTTTGGCATTTACATACTTGCATCTGAGTCAGGGTCCGTTTTAAATGAAGCTACCTAAAGCCAGCATAAGAAATCAATAAAACTACATTTGACTTGCTGCCATTGCTGCCTTTTCACGTCATGTTTCAGCGAGGCTTCTTCCATCGATTTAAAATCCAATCCAATCCAACTTTATTCGATCTTTAAATGATCCTTCTTTTTAAAAAAATATTTCTGCCATGATGAAACACCTTTTATTATTTTCAAGTGCCGTGCCAGCTCCATAAAAATAGCAACAGAGGTAAACAACGCCGCAGTAAGTGATTGCTCTGAAAGAGGAGGCGAGAAATGAAAGTGAAAGACAGCAGCTGGTAGACGAACACGCTGATCTGAAAGCAGATGCTTGCGGTTCACATCAGTGTTTCTCTCTGTGACCTGCTTACCGGGCAGAGAAACACTCCGCAGGGATGATGGCAGCCGAGGCAGCAGTGATGTGTTTTATCAAAGTTAATGATGCAGCATCTGTTCTTTTGTTAAGTCTTTGTTTTGTTCCCTGCCTAATTTGCAGCAAATTGGTGAAGGGTGGGGGCGGTGCAGCAGAGGACTGTATAGAATAACAGAAAATAAACCATTTTTATGTTTTAAATTTTGTTTTTTCTTTTCTAAAGGAGAAAGACCTCCGACATAATTTCTGGGTTGACAAAGTTTAAACGTAGACACAAGTTTGGTGGTTATTTATTGAACACAGAAATGCAACACCACAGCATTAGACTGGCAAAAATATGGAAACCTTTAAGAATGGCAGTGATAGTTCAGATGTTTAGTTCTATGAAAGTTTATGACAATCAGTGTCTTGTGTGGTGTAGATAGCTCTTTGGACACATTTTGTACTCTAATTTAACCAGGCAAAACCTATTACGATCACAGAGGTCTTTTGCAAAGGAGGCCTAGACCTGAAGGCAACCTAACATGCACGTTTGTAGACAAATTTATAAACGGTTTCTCTCTTGTATGACAGTTTCAGAATGTATTTCTGCCTGCAGCAGAAAACTGTGTTGGTTGATAAAAGTTTTCAGTGATTCTGTTAAAAAGCCTGGCCTCTGCCTTCCTAGGCAGTTCTGCTCAAATTTCCCTTCCCTGCTCTGTCTGGGATTTCTCCCATAGACAAGAATTTCTTCAGGAGAATTTTGTTTGGGCCAATCAATGAACAGAAGGCGGAGTTTTGAACTACAATGTCGATTTTCTATGCAGTGTCTGCTTGTAGTTTATTTTACCTGGGCCAATCAGCAAACAGAAGGTGGAGTTTTGAATGACGATGATTTTCTGCGCAGTGTCTGCTAGTTAGTTTAGCAAACGGCAGTGGAGGAAGTGAATGAAGCCAGTCYGTGTTGATAAGGCTTCCAAATTAAATTAAATTTGTCTGACAAAGCAGCAGCTCTCATTTACAGCCGTCTCGTTTGGCTCGGTACTTCTCCCAGCGAGACCTCCGGCTGTAGGGTTGTTTACAGCATACACAATTTCTGGTTAGCTTCTCAGCTTAGCCTCCTTCACAGTGGAGCTGGCATACACATAGGTCGTGGCCAACCAATCCAATCATTTTAAACTTCAGCAGAGGCCACGCCTCCAGCAAGAATCACTTCTCTATAGCTGAGAGTCCAGACCCTCGTACGAAGCAAAGAGAAGGACAAGGGTCTGGTTTTAACCAGGCTAGTTAAAACTCAATCAAGGTGGAGCTTTATTGGTCATTGTGACAATTTATTTTGTCTCTCTATTTCTGTTCTGCAAATGAAGTTAAAGTTTTGGATGCAAATAGGATTAAATAAAGGTGTTGCACTTTTACAGAATGCAAAAAAAGTTTTATGCAAAAATTAAAAAATAAACAAAACTACAGCTTTTGCATTACTCTGCATGTTACCAGTTGCAAAACCACATTTTCAATAAAAGGTATTTCAGGGATAATAGTAATTTTCTGCTATTGCCAAAATACAGTAGATTCCATTAAAAAAACTTTAAGTGCATTTCAGAACAGCCTCTCATGTACCATTTGAATCCTTATCCACAGTGAAACATCCACTTGGCAGTCCCAAGAACTTTCAGGAACCTTTTATGGATTATTTACAGCGACCAGGTGAAACATCAAAAAAGGACAGGGGACATCGAAAAACTGAGCCATCACAACACAAAGGTAGATGTTTGTGTTTTCATCTCTACATATGGTTAGAATATAAAAAAACTGACAAACAAAACACCCAGATGGAAGTCATCATACATGTCAAGGTTTATTATCAGAACATTTCTAAATCTGGTAATGATTTCTGTTGACTTTATTCAGACACAACACATCTAAGATCTTCATCTCCACCAGAGAACGGGCCGAGACCTCCGGCTGAAAAACTAAAAAGTTATTCACATTTGGACAAGTCATCGAACTATTCAAGCAGAGGATCTCAGGAGCCACATGGACCACAGGGCAGTGCACAGAGTGGAGGACATAACCGGAAGACTAATGTTTCCCCAGGTCGCTATGATCCGGAGAGCTCCCACAAGCACTGGGACAAAGGAAGCCAAAGTAAGTCCAAGTCAACTTGGAGRCCCATTCGGGAAGTTCTGAATGTGGACACAGTCCTGAATGAACTGGAGCAGCGGCGCCAGCAGCAACAAGACAGCCCGCGATGCAGCAAGTCCTCCTCCCAGGAGAGACCACGCACTGAACACAGAGGAGACAGAGAGCGGGAACATGCTCGGACCAGAGAGGATCGGAAACAGAAGTGCTTGATGACGATTTATGAGGACGAGCAGCGCCACGAGACAGAGAGCCACAGCTCCGTCGAGTCAGAAAGCAGGACCAGCCAGCCGAGGTGTAGCAGACTCAAAGGTTGTCCCAAGACTCTGCTGCGTAGTGACACCTGGACCATTCAGAGAACTGAGTCTGGCTACGAGAGCAGCGATCGGCTCAGCAGTGGCTCCACCAATCCTGACTCACCTGGGGTTGATGGCTTGGGTATTAAACCGGATCTGAGGCTAACACCTGAGCTACATCTGCAAAGGTAGGGCTACCACCTTGTAGCTGTTTAGTGGATTTATTTTTGTAAAGAAATCAGCATCAAAACAACACTGTGACAAGAATCTGACCATCATTACAAATCCTGCAGACTCAGGTCTGAGTTTTAAAAGGTCGAGCTAATTTAATTATAAAATCATTAGCTGGTGTGGTGTTGGGTTAAGACCCGAATATGGAAATTGTTTTCCTATCTGTCTAAGTATAATACATTTCTAACCATTAAGATGTTTTCCCCTGATATGCACAAGAATCTACAAAAGATATTTCAAGATTTTTGGAATATTTTCTTAAAATATCACTGCTTAAAATAACAGAGGTTGAGAGCAAAACAACAGGATAGACTCTGGGGGAACAGACCTCAACACAGCATGAGGTAGCAAATCTATGGTGAACTCTTTATTTGACAGAGTCACTTGTTACAAACATTGATTTCAAAATTACATTACTGTAAAAAAGGATGCATGTTGTTTTTGCGTCTGTGTAAAATCCACATGGATAATTTAAGACACAACAAATAAAAAGACTGTACTGGAAAAATCATGTTTTCACACAGATAAAGCTTTAGACTAATTCTATACACTTTTGTATCCTTTTCCATAAAGTACAAATAAAGCTGCTCAGTTGTAAATTTGTCTTACAAACAATAATACACAAAAGCATTTTATCACCTCCTGTCTGTGCAAACCAGGCACTTATTAAACATATTTAAAAAGAAAAGGCAACATGTTTGGCCTAAAGGTACATCTTGTTTGTATCAAAACGTTTGTTTTGTTAATTTCTTCACTAATAAGTTGCTTGCAACTTAGTTTAAAACTGTTTATTTTCTGTTTCCTCATTTTCAGCCAGCTGCATCAAAGAGGAGGAAATACAAAACCAAGTTTAATGCCACCCGCCTCTCACAGTGGTAAGTTTCAAGATTTAACAGATGTTCTCAGAAAAATAAAAACAAGAATTTAAGCAGCTGGTATTAAATATGGAGTGAAAAGAACAACAGTGTATTTAGTTCTAACTTGGTAGGTTTGTTTAATTTGGATTTGTTTAGACCAAGTTTCTGAAGAAAGTTTTAAAACGTGTAATATTAGGGATGCATGATACATCCTATGTTGAAAGATTATGGGGACAGTTTGATTTGTAAAAAAACAGATCTTGCTTTTTCCTTTTTATGAAGAAAATAAAATTAATTAAAAGATAAGATTGTGCGTATGAGTGATTTAGGAGGACTTGTTGCATTCACCAATTTTCTCATATTCTAAGATTTTTTTCAGATACGAGCAAAATTCACGAGTGGTCCAGACCTGTCGTATATTTTATGTGCAGTCAGTCTGCTGTTATCCAGACAGATTTTCTTCACTAATAACTTTATATTTCGTTAGTTTGAAGATATTTTGAATTGAAAATAAATTACACTCCTTAATTATGTTGACAATAGGCTATTCTGTTTGAATTGGAATTATAATTTTAAGTGTATTAATGTAGCCTAACGATATAATTTAAATTGGCTATTAATGCTATAGGTTAACACTACAAAAAATTTTTTGAAGATCTCAAACTACAAATCAACTTAAATTATGCATTAATTGTAATGGCAAGATGTTTTAAAGCCATTTTATATCAAACTTTTTTTTCTTTAAGTGAATCATGTCAACTTATTCAGACCTGTGAAATCCGTCATTCACTCACAAGATGTGTGTGGGGGGGTTGCATTATTTCTAGCAGCAGAACAGTACTGGTTGGAAGGTGAACATTTTATTTAATTTATTGATATTTATGTCACCTGTAGGTCGTACAGCCACCAACTGTAGCAACCCACAGGAGACAYGACATTAAAATTAACTGCAGTTGTTATTTCTTCCCATTCCTTGGCTTTAGCAGGTCCTTTAATTCCACAGCTGACACTGCTAAAAAATGAATCACTGAGAGCAGGACTTCAATCTCCAAACTCATTAAGTTCTTCTTTTTACTTTTCGCTGTCATTTTCATGAATGAACACTTCCTGGTATGTAGGGCAGGAAGCGTAGCCTTATATGGTATTATTGGGGTAGTAATTATGCTAATTTCCTCTCCTCGTGCACTAGCACCGTACATACAGGTGGCATTCATCATGTTTACGCTGCTCATTTACACACTTTTCCTGGCATTAGAAGCGTTTGCTGAATCTGACATGGCATGTTCATATGAGCCCTTCGTATGAAAAAAAAGTAAGAGAAATTTAGAATAAGAATACAAAAATGTTCCTGCATGAGGCCTGATGTTCTTTGACTGGATGTWATGTGAAGAAAAGATGAGCAATAAAGCAGTTGTACTTTTATCAAATGTTCATTTCATTTTTCTGTCCCGAGAGAGTTGAAGTACCTGAATGGCATTTTTTTTATTACGCCCAGTTTTTTTAGTAGTTTCTAAATATGTTGTGACAAGATTTGAATGTGAYGGTGTGAACGCTGCTGCACATTCATTTAAAGACCGAGTTGATTTCTGAGCCTAAACTCGTTATTTAACCTCGTAGCCCCGTAAGCCCAGCGCAGGCATTAATCTGATGATAATCCCACAAAGCTCATTCAGATAGAAGCAGCTGGGACATGGCTGCTGACATTGTCATAAATATAGTTCTGTTGCATCCAGTGCTTTGGGTCTACTGGATGGACTTTATCAAGGCGGTGTGCCTCGGGAGCCAGCRTTTCCAAACAGCAGCTTCTATATTTGCACGGAGATATCCAGGGCAACCGCAGAAAAGAAAAATCTATTTTTAAAAAAGAAAGGAATTCTGTGTCGTGCTGCCCTTTGCTGGTGCAAGAAGCATGGCGGCTACAGAGTGGAGAGGGTTTAACGTTTGCTGCTGCTGCCATCATGTGTCCATAAAGCCCTTCAGCACTTTAGGCAGGAGTAAACTGTTTCTCTTGTGCCTTCAGACACGTTTTGTTGCTTTCAACATTTTGAAAATGAATTAACATTTTATTCTCAATCATTAATTTAGATTTTCTTTTTCTTAATTTTTTTATGATAAATGAGTTTCTCTTTTATAACATTTTAGTCATTTTTTTTTGTTTTCCTACGTTTCAGAATCTTGTAATTCATCTTGTAAGTACTTTTAAATCTGTCCATGGGACATTGTTTGAGGGATTTAACATATTTTTTATAAGAAAGAATGAYACTTGAGCTGACAAATATATTTTATGATAATTCTAAAATTTACCTACAGTTAGGCAGAACTTTCTAAAAGAGGACTGGAAATCAAACACGTTTCAGGATGTTTTTTATTTTTTTTTATTTTTCTAGGTAAACATCAGATAAAATCTCAGGGAAACCAAGACCAAGTTTCACTTTCACATCCAAAAGTCAGTCCAAGTTCAAGGTACTGTTCTTTATTTGAAAAGAGAAACACTCATTGTGTGAACTTATTTATTAATTATTGATTATTTATTCTGCATCTGATACATTCATGTGCACACATCTGTCTGTTGCATGTGTTAAACTGATTTAAACTGCTGTTACGGCRTCAACTGTGGAATTCCCCGAGAAATACATAGAACATGATTTGTGGCCTTTCTGCTAAACTATATTTATCCTACTTATCCTATCCAGACAAGGACCTGAATTAAATGTAAATAGCTCTTTGTCAAGCTAATCCTCTCCTCTTGAAAGACTCGTGGTAAAAATAACGGAGTGCAAGGCAAGTGCCTTTAAGTGCTTTGAGGGGTTGACGACGCCTACTATTGTTAGTGAATGCTTCTTGTCTGGTTATTGCTAATGAGAAGTTCTCACAAGATAAGAGAAAAAGTACAATTAAAGACTGATGTCAAGTTGGACAATTTGTTCAAGCTTACATGTACAAGTAGAGCAACACTTTAGGAAAGGGGTTGTTTAATCACCCACCTCTGATTACACAATCACCTGTGYGTTTGTCTGTCTGACTTTTAGAAAAGTATACCACTGGATGGTTCAATRAAAAACTCTCAAAAATTAAACATTTGATGTAAATCTACAACTGATTATGTATCGGGGACAAGCTAATCCAAGATGACCGCCACAACAAATTAACTTAAGCCAACCCAAAATGGCTTAAACCTGGTCAGATTTACAGAGTTCTGATTTGGTGTAGCTGAGAGTCATCCCGACCACATAATCCAAGCGCTAATATATCACACAAGATCTTTGTTTAAAACTTTAGCAAGAAGGCAGTGTTGAAAATGTAGGAAAAATGTAAGCCCCAGTGTTTTTCAACCGCGGTCCTCAAGGCACACAGATGTTTCCCTGCTTCAGCACAGCTGTTTTCAATTGATAACTGATTAACAGGCTTTTGTTGAACTGCAATCATCTGAATCAGGTGAGTTAAAGCAGGGAAACTTCTAAAACATGCAGGACAGCGTCCCTTGAGGACCAGGGTTGGAAAAACACAGCAATAAACAATTTACTGCCATAATTTTAGTTCTTGGAGTTTGAATATAGCCCTCTACACAGGCTCTTTACAAAAATAATATATATATTTTTAATTGGCCTGTATACATATTAAAAAAAGGTTTAGATCTCTAACYAGGCCTTTAAATCTGCTAGTTTCAATCCGATTGCTGGATACTTTGAGATTACAGATTTATTTACAACATCTTATTTGCTTAAATCTAAATTCTATTGAATTAACAAGCTGAGATTCCAGACATAAATGATTCAAAATAGGAAAAAATATAGATAAGGGCATATCTTTATTGGCCTCAGATTTTTAACACTGTATTTAAGCAGCTGTTTTCCAATATTGTGTTTTCTTGGAAAAAAAAAAGAAAATAATGAATGCAGTGAATGAGACTTTTTTTTCAAATCATTTAAAAGATCATAAACATCAATTTATTTTTCTTGCAGACGAAAATCTAAGTATTCTTCCAGCACCTCTAGAAAGGCAGCATCATCGGAGACAAACTCCAGTGGTTCAGATAACAGGCAGAGTGAGCACCAGGAGCTGACAAACTGCAGAGGATACAGCAGTGAAGGGATGACCCCAAGACAAATTACCAAAACCAGTAGTTCAGAGTGGAACAGCTCCGATGATCTTGTTCTCTCAGAGTCTGAAGACAGAGAAAGCACTTACCTCTCCAGTAACAGTGAGGCTGTCGCCTCTGACTCCCAGTGCCCTCCCATAGACCTGCTCTACCCCACTAATGTGACATCAGAAACTGTCCAAGCGAACAACCAGCGTCAGCTCGGGTCGACCGGGTCGCCTCACCTTCGACCCAGCCAACAGATCTCTCCCGGTGAAGCCAGCCACTCTGCGTTTCGTCCAAGGATGCTTCAGGAACACTTCCCCTCAAGTCCCCGCCTCTCATCAGCATCCCACGTCAGTCCTCACCGGAGWCCTGACGTTTCAGGCCTCAGGACCTTTTCAGACGCCAGCTCGAAGTCGGGCTCTGACCCAGAGAGGAGTACTCAGTCGTCGTGCGACAGCGAGGACAGACTGACGGGGTGCAGAGGGGAAGAGGCAGCACCAGCTCCAGAGGTTTCTCTGACAACGTACTTTAACGTGGACAACTGTATGACGGAAACATACCGCCTCAAGTACCACAACCAGAGACCCCTGGTCCTCTCTGCCACAGTGCCACGGACCACAACAGAGAGTGAGCGCAGAGAGAACAGCCACACACTTCCCAATGATGCACACTCACAAGACGTGCCAAAAGCCAGACCTGAAACAAGTAAGATATAAAAAGATATAAAGCGGCTTTTCTTTGTTGTGGACTGTATTTTAACAAGAACATCCTGTTCTTTTTTCTGTACAGGCCATAATAGCAATAAACCTGCTGCAAAATGGAAGCCAGTGACGGCCAAAGGACTGGATGAACGGGGTTTTTTATGAGCATTAAGTCGTGTTTACATGGATGGACCGCATATCTGAATGCCAAAGAGTTTACCGAATGGAAGTATGTCCAGACGCGCCAACATCTCCAAACTGGCTGGAGCTTATTTATGCAAGCTTGTCCTATAAATAAAACCTATTTCTGATATCTGTTATGCATTGTTTACCAGATGATCAACTATCACATATATCTTCCATTGTTCCACATTCCTATGAACAGAAGTCTGTTTTCAGTTTGCACAAAAGGATTATTTTAGTTTTTAGAATTGTTATTTTTTTAATCACATTGCATAATTTTTAATGTTTTTATTTGTGCAATATTCTGCAGAAGTACAAAAATGAATATGTTTAAATGCATTCAAAGTAAGCAGTAAGTGATTATGAGTCAAAGATGAAGCAGCAGTCTGTACAGTAATTTTAAAAATATGATCAATTTTTTATTCATTCGTAATTTTGTTTTACACAGCAAAATAAAATAAAAAAATTTATTTTTCAGCATCAGACCTATCAAAGGTGAAATGGCTTTTTCATTAAAATGATAGTTCAGATCATGTGCAAAGATTATGATTAGTTAATATCTTACCTGTAGCAGATGGCATTTTAAACAATCTGCAATTAGATAAATTGGCTGTGTTTGGGTTTTCCACTATTCTGTTAGTCAGTCCCATGGAAATTGGTTACTTTGCTTAGTAAAAATAGTTAACATAAGTTGTACACTACAGAAAAAGACATTAATGCATTGCATTTTTTTTCCATGCGGTCAGGTTTAAAGATTTTCAGAGGCCTATCTACAACAGGTAAGATATTATTTAGTCATAGCGTTTCCACAGAACTCCACTTGAAAAAGATCTGAACTATCATTTTAATAAYTGGCAGCTTATTAACTTTATGCACACTGGGAGCTTTTTGTCCCCAGATGACCTATACCACAACAATCATTTGTGTTTTGTTATCATTTATCAGCACTTTTTACAACATTTAAATGCTAAAGAATGACCTTTGGTTGCTCCGAATCAGTGACCTTCCCTTGTTGTAAAAATCTATTGGCAAACATCTGGATTTGGTTCTTAAAATTTGGGCATAAAAACCAAATTAAACTATTTTTTAATAAAAGATTTTAATTTACTAAAATGCTATTTTACATRGACATTTTTGGGGGTTTGTCACGTAGTAAATGGGGCAGCACTCTTCTGTGAAACACAATCACATATCTTTTATTGTGCTGGTTCTTGTAATTTATGTTTTGTTATACACCGTGATGTCAAAATGTACTTTTTTCCCCCTTCTGTCTTTCTCTTTGAAGAGTCAAATTTCAACAAATCTATATYTGCAGGTATTTTTCATAATGGCGCCACTTTACCAGATACATTAGACATTACTACTAACACCTCAACCCACTGGGAATCTTGTTTCTAACAATAATGTTCTGAAACCTGCATGTGGCCTTTACTAAAAATCATAACGAGCTGTATGTATAGCAAAAGCATGAGCATGAAAGTGCTGGAGTCTGAGTCCAGTTAACATTATAGGAGATTCTATTTAATGGTAGTCAAATAAATGAAACAAATAGCAGTTTGTAACTATGATTGATTTGAAGACGAATGTTTTTTTTCTCCTGCTCGCACAAGAATTGTCTACTCTTTATGCATTTTAAATCTAAGTGTACGATGCAAACGAGAGACTTGAAAACAGCTGACTGTCTTACAGACACACTATGCATTCAATGAAAAATGTCTTTTGATGCACACTTTGGTGTAAGATTTTAAGTCTTGTGTACATCCAGTACTTCCAAGATCATATGCTTCAATTCCAATATATAT